TCCTGAGATCAATCCCCAGTATCAAAACAAAACAAGACAAACAAATAAAAACAACAACAAAAAAACACAGTATGGATAAGCAGAATCTGTACAATTTCATTCTCTGATTCCAGCAGAAGGAACTGTATCCAAAAAGTTAGCAAAAATAAAACATGAAATTCATCCTGACCAGAAGAGCATTAGCGCTTATGTTGTGCTTTAAGAATGAGAGTGTTGCCGGGTGTAGTGGCGCACTCAGGAGGAGGCTGAGGCAGGAGGATCACTGTGAGTTCAAGACCAGCCTGGGCTACATATTGAGTTCCAGGTCAGTCTCAAGAACCCAAAAAAAAAAACAAAGTAAAAAGAAAAGAAAAATTAAAACAACAAAATTCAAATCCAGGTTGAAGAATATTAGTAAATCTAACCAGAAATTTAATTTTGCTTCCAAAGATGCATTAAAATGTAAAATGTATTGGAGAAAAAGCTGTTCTTGTCAAGAAAAAGAAAGGACACAAAAAAGAGTGGGCAAAATAAGAATCTGAGAAAACAGAAGTAAGCATCAGAAGCCACTTGCTTTTTTTCCCATGAGGTTTGCCAGCTTAAGTGTGGTAAATCCATGGACAGAATTATGATTTTTAATGATTGTGTGTGTGTAAAATGTGGAGATTTGTACAATCACATTCACATTGTAATCCGTGTTAGAAATAGATAATTAGTGCTTCAAGTGGTTATTTCAAGAATATTTTTGCTGGAGATGAGACTAGTAATTTAAAGAAAAACAAACAGGACACCCACACTTTCCGGTCCCCCTTCTGTCTCTCTCAGATAGAAGCTATCTTTCTCTTGATAAATTTTTCCTACTCTTAACCTCCGCTGTCCTTAAAATTCATTCTCCAATTTTAGAGAACACAAACTCACACTCTGGATATCTAGCAGGTTTGGGAGTTACACCTATTCCCCCTATATCATTGTGGAGGTCTTCCACCGAGATTACTGGATGAAGATGGAGGTGTCTGACTAAAAGACTCCTCCATACTAAGATGGACATGTATGTGTTACAAAGATAATACCACCATCATTGTCTTGCTGAAATACTATCTGTACTCTTGATCTTGTTTCTCTATATAATATATAACTGTTGTCTGCAATCTAACTGTGCTTTATATTTCAAAAGTGCTTAACGTCCAGACAAAATTATAAACCTCAAGCTCATTGCTCCTACTGCACTACTAATGTCACTGATCTTCTCTTCTGGGTGTTCAACAACTAAAGTTTGGAGACCAAAACTAGAAAGGTAATTGGACTAAGAGGACAGCCAATATACTAGCCCCGGCCCTGTGAGGTCACAAAAATCCAAGACATGAGGGAACCTTTCACTACAAGAGCCTACACCTTTGGTAAGTCACCCAACCTCCTGAGCAGAAAGATTTCTGGACACCAGAGGACAAATGTACTATGTCAAAGGAGGGTCACCAACAGGGAAAAGTCTCCCATGCTTTCACCAAAAGCAGCAGTCAAGCAAGGCTGTGCCCCATCCTGACGGCTGACACTGACAGAGGAGCTGAGACGCTCTTTGCATGGTTCCAAAGTAATACCTGAGGAGACTTAACTGACCTTGATAGACAGCCAGAGGTTGATTTTGACTGACACAGATCTCACTTTATTTGGCCTTAAACACCCATCAGAAAAGAATACCCTAAAGACGTTTAACCATAGTAGTAAAGTTAGACATAAAAAGGGGCTCCAATCGCTGACCCCTTCTGGCAGTTTCCAGCTATATGGGTAGCTGACCATAGTTATGACAGACCCTCCATAAAGTAACTGACTGCTGATCACAACTATGAACCCCTTCAGCCAGAAGTAGTCAGAATGGTCTTCACCCTTTGCTCCCTCACAGCAGTTATGGGTACTTTCTCAGAGGTATTTTTCAAATATTACAGATAGGTAAATGAGATATTTTGTAGGCAGTTAGACAGGGCCAGCCCTCCAGAAGCCAATATGGAGGATGATCAAGGAGCCAATATGAAGGACAATTAAGACACATTCGCTGAAGGCCAACATTGTAAAGAAAGAGAAACTACCACACCCTAGTGCTTCTCCTAGGGATGAATTGAAATTCTAAGTAGGTATCAATCACCTGGATGGGGCCAAGGTCTTAACCCTCCCTTTTCCAGGAAAGATCCCTGACCTACCCCAGACAACCGAAAATCCTTGCCCATTCCCCTTATACACTTGCTGTGTGACTTGACTTCCCTATTGGATCCCCATTTAATCAATATTACCCAAATGACTGTACTTGTCGTAATCCTATTGGTTGTTCATAGTTTTGTCCACTCTGTGATTTCTCATTGCATCAGAATTACCTAAGCAACTGTACTTGCAATCTTACCAGTTGACTATAGTTTTGTCCCACCTTCAACCCACCTCACCTGTGGCTTTCTCCCATAAGCTCTTTGAGAAGTTGGGTGCGTGGGCAGCCCACTTTCTAGTCCCCCTCCTCTCTCTCTTAGATAAAAGCTATCATTCTCATAATAAATTTTTCCTACTCTAAAAGAATTTAAAGAAAAATAAACATTATTACTGATTATACATAGACCAAGTAGCCTTAATAACCTTAAAATGGGAACACTCATTTCAAGTCTAGTAATAATACCTAAGAACTATTTGAGAACTGTTACTTAATACATTCTCATTTTTCTTATTTTTGCACTTGTGATAAATGGAGTTCTGGATTTTTATTTTACTCCATCAACTAATAATAAGTAACCAATGTAAAATGAAAAAGAAAAAGAAAAAGCCCTTCCTCAGAAACTACACAGATGCTGGCATGATGCTCTTAGACTTCCCAGCCTCAAGAACTGTGAGCTAAATAAACTTTTGCTCTTTATGAATTACCCTATCTCAGGTATTTTGTTACAGCAAAAGAAAATGGAATAAATAAAACATATGCTCCAAATGAACAAGACAAAAGAGCAGGCTATACTAATATCTGAGGCATGCCCTTCAATGAATATTGAAAAGCTAGTGCAGGGAGAGAGACCCCAGCCTGGGGAGACAGGATCTGGGCATGGCTGCTGAGCATTTACTTTATGCTAGAGATCCTCCCACAGGATACAGGATTCATTTTCTCGCCACCTAGGCTGTCAGGAGATCCAGGGACAGTCCTGGAGAGCAAGGGCTATGCCTCCTTCTCAGCTGGAACCCTGCTTCTCCAGAAATGCGCACAGGTCTGTGGAAGCATGCCTCACATTACTCATAACTTCAGAAGGATCAAGCCCCGCTCTTGGTACTTGTACACACATTTTTCACCCGTCAGAAACATCTGCTATGGCTCCGGGTGGATAAGACAGCGGGGAGGAAGATATACTCACATGCTGTTAATGGTTCCTCAGAAATACCCCAGTGGGAAGGCATCATACACTCCTATGGATCCAGAAATCTAGATCTTGATACTCTTTCTGGTGTATTTATAAGAAGACAAATGTGGAATGAATTATTTGCAAGTTTACTTGTTGCAACATGCTGTGTCACAGTAAAATAAGGAAACGACCTAAATGCTGACCAACGGGCTCCAGTCTAAATAAATTATGGCACATCCACACGAGGGAACACCATACTGTAAAAACAAAGAGGAAATTTTTATGTACTGATGGGAAAAATTTTAAAATATATACTGCTAAATGGATTTTGCAAATTGGAAAGGGACTAAGAAATGGAAGGAAGTGGAAAGGAGGTGAAGGGAAAGTAAAAAGAACTAAAATATGTATGTGAATCAACTCCCCATAATGAATGTGATCACTATAGAGTTGGAGATACACCAGTACCTCAGAGTAAGAGGGCTGAGAACCATGTGTGGCTGGGAACCGGTGACAAAGACAGACTTTACTTATAGGTTTTTGGAGCTGCTGGTTTATAAAGCACATAAAACACTTTTAAATTAATCTAGTAATGTAAAAAAATAATCTTTCTGAGAACATATGAGTTGGTATTCCACCCCAGCACAATTTTCAGTGTTCACAAAGGGGACACCGAGAACAAGCCTGGCCCAACACACAGACACAGGATCCTGCACACCCACCCCAGACTGCTACTTCTTGGCCAGAGCTACTGTAGCAACTGAAGCATCAGCTGAAATCCCAGCAATCACACTTGTGCAAAGGCACACACAACCCTTCATGGCAATGCCAGAGAGAACCTTGGTAAATAATCTAAAAAACTACAAAATGTTAGGAAAATGTGGAATGACTCTGCTCTTGCAACTGAAATCTGCTTTGTTTAGTTCAAAATTAAGACACCAGGGGGCATTAACCATAGAATGGGACATCTGGCCTCATCCTAAGACAACAGGACACATCAAGACCCCAGCTCTGAAGTTCTGTAGACCACATGATTTTAAAAGTATCAAGATGAAAAGAACAATTGTTAACTTTGGTTTCCTGACCCTGAACACCCTCTTCCTCCAGGCTAGGATAGGTAGCTAGGCAATCTTAAAGGTAAACTCCCTAACTACAAAGAATTGCTACATCTGGGTTAAAGTTAGCTGTCTTGTGACCATGATTTGTATATCAATAATGTAAACTGAGGAAATGAAGTGTAACCACCTGAATGAGATCATGACCGTAAATTCCTATAAAAGAAAAAGCTGTAGCCCAGTATGGGGTAGATCACTGGCACTGCTTTAGCGCGATCAGCCTTTTGTCAACAAAATAAACCTTTTATTATTTTACTCCACTTGGCATCTCTGTGCGTGTCATTTACCAATTCCTTCCGCAAAAGCAACACTTTCATCCCGGGACTGCCAGCCACCCCTGATCACCTTGGCAGAGCAGCTGAGCATTTCACTGCTGAGAATGCCAGGAGCTACGTGAGAAGGCTACATATATGCACCTTGTCCTTCTGGGTTGGTCCAGACTACTCTGAGTCTCCTGATCACCATTTCAGTGTAAATACTTTTAATTTCCACTCCTTCACACCCATGACACCACTTGTACATACCCACTGTAGTATGAAGTGCTCACTACCTGAATGGGTGTTCATCATGCGGACAGCCTTGGCCTTGGCCAGCTCCAGGGCAGTGATCCACTGCTGCCGGTCCACCTCTGAGCTGCCCTTGAGGTGATAGTTCCTTGCCCCACTGATCAACAAAATACCACAAGAGTCTTCCATGCCAATCTGCACAGTGGCCAGGTTGATGGTTCCACGGCAGGTGTGGGCCATTTCACCCTGATTTCTGTTGGATACAAGAGAAAGTATGAGGTTAAGATCTTCACACTCAAGAAATTCTCAAGGCAAATTCTCAGAATTTCAGATCTGAGAGCTGATCAGTCATGGGTTGGTTCAGGACTCTGGGACCACATGTGCCTGCCAAAGGGATAGTGGTAGAAGGACAAAGATCTGTATTAGAGTCATGCACAGGCATGCATGCATCAATCCGACCACTGCAGACACCATAAAGTGAAGAGTGACTGCCCAGGGTCCCAAAAGGCAGAACAGGCCTTAGACATCATGCCTGACTCCACTAAGTCTCAGAACCACAGAGTTGGAATAGGATGGGATCCTGCCACTAAAACTGAGGTTGGATGCCCAGAGCCCAAGGAAGTAGACTTAGATGCGCCTCCTTCTTGAAACAATCTGAGAACAGCATTGTCCCTGACAATGTCTGTTACATCATGAGATTCACAGAACAAAGATGTCGCTATTCTCTGGGCCCACAATGGATAAATAGAAAGCAATGGCTGGGCTACCATAATGCTACCCTGTGACAAGGGACCAAACCCTCTGCTAGCTACAGGATTATGAAGCTAATGGTAGTAAGGTAAGAGGAAGTGGAGGTAACTAAAGCGAATGTCATTTACAACTATGACTAATACCTAAACACTGAGGTCTAACTATCATGATTGGATCTACTTATTTCCTTTAACACTCAAAAGGAAATAAAGACGCCCTAACCCCAATACCAACTCTCTTTCCACAGAGGATGCAGGGAAAAGAAGAACAATGGGTCAGCAGCTAGTACTGCCAGTGGCAGGAGCTCATTTGGCAATTTTCTACTTAAAAGCTTGCTGATTTTCTCTGGCTGCTCATCCCCTATCAATTCCCTTGATTCTTTTACCAGTTCTGAAGTCAAATGACTTGATTCTCAATAAGACATTCATCTTGTATTTAAACAGTAGCTTCCTGTTTTGATTCCCTCTGCTTTGGTCACATTCCCTAGAGAAGATAATGTGTAGCTAAAGAACAGTCCAGCTCCTCAGTGCTAACAGCTTTTGATGGAAAGAAACTCATTCCAATTGACAAAACTGGCCATGCAGGGCATGCCTGTGGGAAAACTGGTGTTTTAGATTTAAGGACATTATAGGCTAGAGAATGTATAGCAGTTAAATAGTCCAGTGATTAACCGGAGGGTCATGGGCCACATTCCAGGCAAGAAGAACAGCAGAGGCAAAGACCACAAAGCAAAGAGGAGTTTGCAGCTTTTGAAGAACAGAAAAGGTTCTGAGACTGGAGTACTGAGAACAAGGGAGTAGACAAGACAGAAACAAAGCTGAAAATCAGGCAGGGGCCAAATGCAGTATCTGACAGGCTATATTAAAAATTTAGGCTCTAGGGCTGGGGATTTAGCTCAGTGGTTCCAGCTCCTGCCTTGCAAGTGCAAGGACCCAAATTCAAACCCTGGTACAAAAAAAAAAAAAATAGGCTCTTACACTAAAACTAGAACAGTAAGCCTTCTGGCCTTGTATATGTTTTTGTTTTACTTTGTTTTGGGGACAGGGTCTCCCTATGTAGTTCAGACTGGACTGACTTGAACTCACAGAGATCCTCCTGCTTCTGCCTTCTGAGTGCCAGGATTACAGGCATGCACCACCATGCCTAGATATGGGCCTAATATTAGAAAAGCAGGTATAGTCAAGATTTCCACGTTTCTGTGGGAACACAGGGAATAACAGTGCCTCACACTTGGTGGGAAATGGAAACCAGGGTACTGTGTGAAATCAGGGGGAGGCTAGACGTTATCCAATGGACACTATTAGATTACAACCCTCCAACTAGAAAAATAACCAGGAGTCCATACTGAAACAAGTAAACAAGCAGAGGAATAAATGGTGAAGGGACAGAGATTCCTTAATAATAGTGGATGGAATTTAGGATATAGGAAATCACTAACCATATGTAGAACTCAATGTAGACTACAAAACGGGAGAAAAAGACTGACAAAACTAGTAAAATCTGAATAGTCCGGAAGTTTTTTTTTGAGACAGGGTCTCACTATGTAGTTGAGACTGACCTGGAACTCACTATGTAGCCCAGGCTGGTCTCGAACTCACAGCAATCCTCCCGTCTCAGCCTCCCGAGAGCTGGGATTACAGGCGAGCACCACCATGCCTGGCCTAGTTCGGAGTTTAGTTGTTAGTATCATCATACAACGTTAATTTCCCGGGTTTTAAATTTTTTTTAAATTTGTTACTACATGTTTGCAGTTCCTGCAATTTACAGTCATCTTGGGGAGTGGTTACATGTGCAGAGCACAGCTTCCTTTTAGATCCTTTTCTCCTCCCTCCCTCCTCCTCCTCCTCCAATCCCCCATCCCATTTTCTATTCTTGTCCATATTATTAATCTTAGCTCATCTTACGGTATATAATTACAGTAATTGAGGCTATTCGGTTACTGTACATGGCAGATATTTATTCTACTTATTTCCCTACCCCTCTTCCTCACCCCTCATGCTTTTCCCCCTGGGACCATTTCCCTATAGCAAGAGATTCACCTCCTTGTCCTCTTCTACTCATCCTTATTATTCTCTTTGTTTGTACTTTGCCTCTTTCAAATGAGAGATACAACACAGTATTTAAGCTTGTGTGTCTGGTTTATTCCACTCAACATTACATATTCTAGGTGCATTCATTTTCCCTGCAAAGATCTCAAATCTGTCATTCTTTATAGCAGAGCAGTATTCTGTTATATATAAATACCACACTTTCTAGAGCCGGGCGTGGTGGTGCACACCTGTAATCCTAGCACTCGGGAGGCTGACACAGGAGGATCACTGTGAGTTTGAGACCAGCCTGCGCTACCTAGTGAGTTCCAGGTCAGTCTCAACTACACAGTGAGATCCTGTCTCAAAAAAATAAAACAAAACAAAATGAGCTTGCAGAAACCAAATTACCAAGCCAAGATCTTCAAATGCTCACTCCTCCACAAAGCAAAATTTTCAGTCATCTGTACAAGAGTATGGCTTTTGCCTTTGTGTTTTCTTTGTATCATCTGTTAGCCACACAATGCAAGTTTACTATCTGAGCCAATTTTGCAATGGAGAAAGGCCAGCTAGAGAGACCAAATGACTTATCCAAGCTCAAGGTGGATGAAAGAATGAGGATGCAAGGGCACTGAGAGCTTGGAAAATAATTTTGGCTTTCTTTGGTCGGATCCCGCCAGAAATGTCTTGCAAGGCTGTAGTGAAACCAGGTCAGAAGGCAGGGAGAGTTACTCTGTGCTTCTCTGAGCCAGCTGGAAAGGGTGGTTCCTAGGATTCTATCGCTGACAACCAAGGGATACACAGGGGGTCTAGAGCAAACACCTTCAGGAAATGGCCTCTGTGGCGGTGGGCCTGAGGGCACGAGTGTGCTGCGCAGTCACCAAACAGGCCTGACAGCAGAAGCTATCAGAGCAGGTCTGGTGTCTGGTGTCACTGCTCAGCCAAGCAGGCCTGCCACAAACACGGATGAGGCAGGCTGAGAGAAAATGAGAGCTAAGGAGTCAGCCCCGTGTGCTGGCCAGGTGCCTCTGCTGGCTTCCGTGCATCCCGGGACCTTACGAATGCCACCAGTGGACACAGACCAGGCAACAGCACAGAGGTTGAAAAGGCCTGAGGTTTACTGCTCTGGATACCCAGCCACCAGGGTGCATTAGTGGAGATGTTCTAATCTGGAGCTAGATACAAAAAAAAAAAAAAAAAAAAAAAAAAAAAAAAAAAAAACTCAGAAAAAGATAAGCTACCAACTCAAGGGCATATTCACAATATTTCCAACAAACAACTTGTATCTAGAAAATATAAAGGACTCCTAAAATCAGTATGAGGCAAACAACTCATTGTAAGAAATAGAATTATTTTGTACTGTGATGAGAACAAAGTGAACTCCGTCTTCCACAGATATTTAAGTGTACAACACATCATTATCTATAGACAAAATGTTATGCAGCAAACGTCTAGAACTTACTTACCAGTATAAGTAAAATCTTATACTGATAGATTAGCAGCTCCCCCGAGTTCCTGGCAGCCAAAATTCTATTCTTTATTTCTATGAGTTAGGCTATTTTAGAAACCTCTTATAAGCAGAATCATGCAGTATTTGTCCTTCTGTGACTGGCTTATTACACTTAGCATAATATCCTCCAGATTCATCCATGCTGTCACAAATGGCAGAATTTTCTTCTTTTTAAAGGCCAATTCTATTGTAATATATATTTCAAATCCATTCATCTATTAATGGACATTCAGGTTGTTTCTGTGTTTTGCTTTTGCAGATAATGTTCAGCACAGGAATGCTAGTATCTTTCTGAGATGCTAACTTCAGTTCTTTTGGATAAATACCCAAAACTGGAATCACTGGATGATATATTCGTAGGAACTACAAATAAGAGGCAAAATCAAACGTGAAGGTAAAAGTGAAGTCAGTGGTTACCTTAGAGGAGAGTAATTACTGAAATGGGGGCAAGGGATGTAGCTCAGCGGCTTTGCGCCTGCCTGGCAAGCGGGAGGTCCTGAGTTTGATCCCTGGTACAAAAAAAAACAAAAACTGAAAGAGGACAGGAGGACTGGGGAGAGGGGGCTGAGGAGCATGTTGTATTTTTTTCACTGGGGTAGTAGTCATTCAGGGTATTTACTTCGCAAACATTTACCTTGCAAAGCATTTACTTGGCAAGCTGTGAATACCCTATGCATATTATACATTTCTATATGCATATGATATTTCATTAAAAGGGTTCTGTTTTTGTTTTGAGGCAGGGTCTTGATCTGTAGTCCAGGCTGACCTTGAGCTCACTATGCAGTCCATGCTAGCCTGGAACTTGCAGCAATCTTCCTGCCTCAGCCTCCCAAGTGTTGGGATTACAGGCGTGTGCCACCATGCCCAGCTTAAAACTTTATGTTAACAGAACAGAAAAAGACAGCATACTGCAGTGATGGTGGCAGCAATGAGTTGCCTCCCAGAGGCACCACCTGAGTGATATCC